GCACTTGATTTTACAGCTACAAGCGTTAATAGAGCCTCACATTATCTGCAGAGTGAGAAAATGAATGAGCTGATAGCATTCATCACTGTGACACAGGCAACACTTCTTTTGGTCTATTTCAGTTTGGAGGGTTTTTTGTGGTTTGTGGGGTTTTGTGTGGCTTTTTTTGCTGCTGCCCATCACCATGGCCTCTGAGGTTCCTACACTTAAAAAGGCATTAAACCTGAAGTCCTTTAATATTTCTCATATCTTCAGATCCAAGAAGATATTTTTCAGAGCAGTCTAGCAACTAAAAATCCTTAGTATTTAAAACGACATTTCCCAAATTTTAATGCTGACAAGAATGGAAACTCCCCCAGCACCCTGACACGACTTGAGATTCTCACATATTTTATGATTTGCATGTAAACAAACACTTGTGCACACCAGGGTAAAGCCAGTGGGAGTTAGGTGTATAAACAAACTGCCTTTAAAATTCTGGGGCTGGATGCCTGTACCAGAAAGATGGATAGATTATATAGAGCCTCACATTATCTGCAGAGTGAGAAAATGAATGAGCTGATAGCGTTCATCACTGTGACACAGGCAACACTTCTTTTGGTCTATTTCAGTTTGGAGGGTTTTTTGTGGTTTGTGGGGTTTTGTGTGGCTTTTTTTGCTGCTGCCCATCACCATGGCCTCTGAGGTTCCTACACTTAAAAAGGCATTAAACCTGAAGTCCTTTAATATTTCTCATATCTTCAGATCCAAGAAGATATTTTTCAGAGCAGTCTAGCAACTAAAAATCCTTAGTATTTAAAACGACATTTCCCAAATTTTAATGCTGACAAGAATGGAAACTCCCCCAGCACCCTGACACGACTTGAGATTCTCACATATTTTATGATTTGCATGTAAACAAACACTTGTGCACACCAGGGTAAAGCCAGTGGGAGTTAGGTGTATAAACAAACTGCCTTTAAAATTCTGGGGCTGGATGCCTGTACCAGAAAGATGGATAGATTATGCTCTCACGTAAATTTCTACAGCTGACAGAGGGAGTGGGCAGCTGAGAGTCAGGCTTGATCCATGCAGTCTCTCTCATCCTTCTCCCTTCCACAGCTGTGTGACTCAAGTGAGCTCCCGGACAACACAAATGGCAAACAATTTTGAACGCATTTATCTACCAACATCAGAGCTCGCCTACAAAGAAAAGAAAAATCAGTGGCATGTGAATGAGGTCATTACACTCATGACATGGACAAAAGACAGAGTTCAGAGATGAGCAAATAAAGGCAATTATAAATGGGTACAAATAAAGCACCAGCTAAATATTGCCTCTCAAGCTTTGGTAATTGTAAGAAATAAGAAAAGTCTGACGATGGCATTTTTAGGGAAAAATGCTTGCGTATATCGTTTGCTGATTTCCAAATCAGATTCACAAGGACAAGGGCAATAATGCTTTTGGAGGAAAACAACAGTTTGCAAGGACACAAAAAGAAGCAAAGCTGCTCATCCTCCAAGATCTCTGCCACTTAGCTTGTGCTACAACCCACACACCCAAAATACCTGCAACGACTCAAAGCCATCTAAGCACTTCAGAACGTGTTCTCTTGAACTTAAAAAAATCATTAGGGCTAATAGGTGAATTTTTCTGAGTTTTGTTCCTTAAAGCATTAATGGTATTTCATTCCGAACTTAAAAAAAATCATTAGGGTTAATAGGTGAATTTTTCCAAGTTTTGTTCCTTAAAGCATTAATGGTATTTCATTCTTTGTTATGAGGTTTCACCCTGCTTGCATCACAGATGCCCCAATAAAACGAGCTGGTACACAGATCACTGCACACCCGCTGGGAGCAGGCTCTAGAGTGATAGCTCAGGAGTTCTGGATGCAAGTCCTGTTGAGTTCCTGTCACAATCCTTGGGTGCTAAAAAGACAATACTGAGAAAAGATTAGTCTACAGAGCTTAACTGCCATCAAGAGACAAGCCAATCAAACCATTCTGCAACTGGTAGTGTGTGTTTTAATTGTGCAAAGAAATTGAATTAACTTAACACACATGCCTTGCCAAAGTAAGAATAACGCATCTGATCATTATGGGAACTTAAGTATTTAGTTTCTTAAAATATAAGGGTGATCTGTAAGTGAGCTTCCAAGCTGTGGGCTTGCAGCTCAGAATCTGTTCATTTTTGCCATACTAGAATCCAACAGCTCCATACAGAACAAGGTGTTCTTTACCTTCTCTGTAGATTTTCACCACTGTGTTGCAGCAAACTTCCAAAGGCAAGTACTAAGATACTAACAGTTGTGGGTTTTTAAACCCTGGTGGTCATGATTTACAGGAAAACTTCCTGTGAGGAAACGATTTTCCATGTACAAACAGCATCGAAAGATTAGCGAAGGCTGCAGTTCTGTGAGGTGCTGAGTCTCACAGTGCCAAAAGGCCATCTCTCCATCTCTCACCCACCCTCTGATCCCTTCCTTACACCGCACCAAACACTCTGAGTGTTAACACAAGTCATTAACCACAAAAAAGCAGTCAATGCTGCTGCCAGGTTGGGAAGTTGAACCAGTGATAGGTCATGCATCGCCTCTGCTGGGTAAGAAAGGCCTCCCCCTTTCAGCACTTTTTCCCCCAATGCAACTGCATTCTAAGCATTGAGGAGTTAAGGATATCCCTTTCTTGTTAGGGTTAAAATATAGAATTGAAATGCAACCTTATCAGATGAACTAACTGCGCAGACAACACATGATAGTTTTTGAACGCAGGAGAGTCACATTTTTATATTACTAGGCTCTGTATGAAGTACTAAAACCTAACTATTTAAGACAGCTTAAAAGAGGAAAAAAAGAGAAAAAACTGAGTCATCAGTTTAATAAAGATGAAAAGAAAAATTGAAGACAGAGGAAAACAAATGGTGCAATGAGAGAAAAATTCTGAAGAAGCCTTCCTACCACAAATGCCGCTCATAATTCGAACACAACTTTCTTATCTTTAGATCCCTCCAAATAAGCCATAGCCCACACAAACTTTTGATCCTACAAGGAAATACAAGCAAGAAATTCCATAAAGCTCACTTTGCATGGATCTTGAATGAAAGACATTCCTTATTAAGACAAAGGACAGCAATATTAAATGGGAGAGGGGGCTGGAACCAGATTAAATTGGAAACAGCTTTATTTCTTTTTTTGATGAATTCTGATTTGCGGGTCAAGTCTTGTATATATTATTTCATACTCACAAAACTCACCAGAAAGCAAAAGCATACTAGTTGTACAGAAGGGTAGCAGTCAAAAAACACTGTATTTTTATTTTAATTCGTCTTCTGTATTTTACAGTATGTTCCAACTCTAACCTTCTTCTCTAGATACACCTGGAACTGGGTTCTCTGTAAAAGGCAGTCCCTAAGGACTATCTATAGTGTTGACAATCCTACTCAGCTGAATTTGAGGATTACTGGACCGTGTCAGACATACACAGCTGGACCACATGTTGGCATTTTCTGCAAGTTCTTTTTTCCTTCCAGTTAGATGATGGGTACAAGCAGGTATCTCAATGTCAAATTCCACATCTCTCTAATATTCCATATTAAACTTCATCTTCCTTATTAGCTTCTTAGAGCATTTGTAACAGAATATAAATGTCTTTTGCTCTGAATTCCAACTGGTTAATAGCATTATGTTCTGCTACTTACCTGAACAGAAAATCCATCAAACCAAAAGAATATAAATTTTTTTTAAAATGCAGAATTCTGAAGTACCATATCAGCCATACACAGAACAACCATATTCTTCCCATCAAAATAACACCACACCCATAAAGTGGCTTAGAAAGCACAACAACAGACAATAAGGCTTTTATCTAGATCTTCAGTAACAGATGAGAAGCTTAACTGTATGTCAGTGTACACAGGTCTTCTCTGACTTCCAGAGGAGAAACGAGTGTCATCTTTAGGCTGACTAAATAATGGACCACAAATCGTAAGCAGTTTTCTTCTTAAACAATACATGTGTTTGCCCATTCTTTATAGTAAAGCACTTTTTTTTTAAGATGGTTTCATTATTGCATTTTAACACTTCTTCTGCCAAAAACTATGTAAAACTGAGGAACACTGCTCAACTTCAGTGATGCAAATGTATTTCCTACTTGCAGTCTGAAAGAAGCTCAACTCTGCCTCCTGCAGCAGCAGCAATAGAATTAACGACCAAATTCTGACTGCAGGAATTTTATTGATGACAGCAAAGAATTTTCAGATCTTAGCTCTATACTGTCATGGCTTGAAAATACATTTTTTGTCCTTACACAGTGTTAGTGGTTGTTAAATACAGCTGTCCAAAGACAATATCCAGCTCCAGAGTTATACAAGTGTTAGTCACTTTATATGTGACATTTCTTTGTGATTTAGTAGTAGGGACAGTGTCCTGCCTCAGCGAAGTAACAAACTATTCCCTCCTAAGCACCAGCCATCACCACTTAGAGAATTACTGAACTATAAAGACCTATAATGGGATCTATTAGTATAGTATTAAAGGAGAAACATTATAATTTGATGTAGGAATCAGTAACTCTATAAATCTACACTATTTATGTTTTGGATTGCCTCTACTGGACTCAGTACTGATATTGATAGGAAAGGAAGATGCTTCCTTAGCATATGGAGATAATATTGTCTTCTCATAGTTCTAAAATCATATTAATTGGACCTAAAAAGCTTCTGCAAATGTTTTTCTTGTGAATATCACCTTCCAAGTAAAAATTTATCTCATGCTTTGGTACACATTTTTCCTTTTTCAGAGCACTACTGTGCCTCCATGTGTCTTGCCTCCTGTTTTAATCCCTGAATTGTGAAAAAAAAACCCTTGCAGAGGGTTGCATGGAAACTCTGGAGACTTGGGACATCATTACTTGCTTATTACCTGATCACGATCACCTGCAAAACAGCAGCTCTTCATGGTACACCCTTGCAGAGGTTTACATGGAAACTCTGGAGACTTGGGACATCATTACTTGCTTATTACCTGATCACGATCACCTGCAAAACAGCAGCTCTTCATGGTACACGAGTTGAAGTAGCCTTGGTTGTCGAACTGGAAGACGGGCAGCCGGCAGTGGATGTCGTAGAGAACCGGGGGAAGGCGCCGGCGCAGGGCCAGCAGCTGGGTTCCGTTGCTGTTGAAGCGGACACTCATGGCACTCTGAAGGGACAGGTTTCCACCGTAGCGAAGCAGTGAACTGGGAAAAGACAGAGGAAACAAGTTAGATGGGCTGCGCATAGGAATTTAACTACTTAAAGACAGAACTCTCTCTTTAAACTTACCGAGTCATTTCAAACAAACCCGCCCAGTAAACCAGAATCTTACTTGGTTTCTGCTTCAAATCATCAGTTCCTGAACAAACTTGATTCAAAACTTGAGTAACAAACTATCAAAATGCTAGGACTATAAAGTGGTCAGAAAAGCGAGTAGTTTTGTTAATAACAATACATTTCCTGCACAGGAGCAGAGTCTCAGAAAGTAGCCTTAGCCTTAAAAAAGTTGTTCTTGCACTTCTGGAATGTCTGCATTTGGGACTGACCCCCACCAGTGCTCAGCAATTTTTGTTTGGCTGGTGCCTGAATCCAGCCAGCCCAAACTTTTTTTTTCCCCTCTGCTCTGGCACTGGGTGGCATTTTCTCCAACTGTAGACACCCTGACCACTATTTCACTTCTGCTTCTATTTACATTTCTACAGGGCATCATAGAATGTTTGATCTCTACAATCAGTTCCAGCTGTCTTAAATAAAAGGCCATCTTACTAACAAGTTATTACAAGAAATGCTAAAATAAGTCACTTAGCTAGTCTCAAGCCTGCTTCGTCTAAAAATACTGCCAAGTAGGCAAGACAATTATGCTACCACATGACTATTACCTAAAACTTTCACAGGTTGAATTAGCTGGTTTCCTTGTCCCATATAAGGCTGTATGATCACAGCTGGAGTATTTGTGTCAGTTCTTATCGATATATACAAGACAAAAACAAAGGGTCGCAAGTTTCCAGGCTTTCTCTTTAAAACAGTAAGAGAATATGGAATTTGTTCCATCCAGGAACCTAAAGATAATCAAAGCATACCTGAAATTCAACTTGCATTGTACGAGCTTTCTGATTTTTTCAAAGACTTAATTCAATCCCTGCACTTGAAAAGATTGTGCATATGGGAAGGGAGACAAAGATGGAAGAGATTTTATCCCTTTTTTGTTCACTGAACATTGAAAACTCCTTAAGCAGTACCAGAGCTTGACCTTTTGTTAACAGGTTTTGAGCCATCCCCATCAAATCTTGTTAAGAGCTGTGACTTTTATGCACCTTCTGGACCAGACAAGGCACACCAGCACAGTATTAGCAGATTCTAGAGGTAAGTTTAATCTTGGATTTTAATGCATTTTACTTTCTGATTTACCCCTCTGCCCCAACGTTTGTGAAAAATGAGTCACTCCACATGGACGGGAAGCCTCACATTCCATGCAGGTTGAAGCATGCATCGTTACATGAGATACTGTAAAGTTAAAAAACCTATTGTTCCTGAGCCAGAGTTAAACAAAAGCAAAAACAAAATAGAAGATTCCACTTAATGAATGCAGTGGAAATACGCTGCGCTCGCACACATGCACTTTGTGAACCGAAAGCCAGAGTGCCACAGAGCAACCAGAAGTCATATTTTCAAAGCCAACTAGTAAGAGCTTCAAGCTGAGCACCACAAATTCTGAACGTCTGTATCAGTATGAAGAGTCCTGCTCTCTCACGTGTGTGTGTGAACTCTCCTGCTGCTAGGCAAAGGCACTGCACTTCTCTTAATAGTGTTTATGGTTTTTAATAAAAACATGAGAAAACTTAATACTAGAGACTGTAATCTTAGAAACGAGGATTTAGGATCCCCCTCATCAGCCCTAATTTTTGTTCGAGATCAATAAGGTACTCAGCCAACTCAAAATACTCAGTCAGGCATTAAAAAAAACAAAAACCCAAAACACACACTCAACTTTTTTTTCCCCTCCCCCTTTCCCAATAGGTTTGTGTAAGCCAATTTTTTTTTTCTACGGAAGTTTCCACTTCCTTAAAAAAAACCCAAAAAACAAAATCACACCACAAAAATTAAACAAAAAACCCCACCAACACCAAAAACCAACCAAAACCCCAGCCCAAGAAACAAGCAGAAAAAATAAATCCGGACTTTTTTGGCTACAAAAGGTCCATTTTCCTATAAAAATATACAAATTCTCCACCACGACATGTATGTATCAAGCAGATTTAATTTTAAGGTGCAGGCACTGCTACTCCAGGGCTAAGCCCCTCTCCTCACTACCAGTTCTCCCCAATCTAAACCACAACCCGGAATTCTCTCCTGCCTACAAGTGAGTGAGCCTACCAGATGTCCCCTCCTTTCAAATCTTCAAGCAAAGTTTCCATGGTTACTATTATTATGCCCTGTCTGAAATATTCTGGGATTGTATTTTATAGTAATAGTAGTGTAGTATTAAACTAGCTTCCATTCTGCTTACAGATGTTTTCATTAAGCTCCTATAGCAGTCAAAGCTATCAAAGAAACGCCTCTTGGAGCTGAATTCTGTATTGTGTCTCAGTAACTTTAGTGCAACGGATCTCTGAAAGAATATTTTACTTCAGAAATTAAATGAAGTAAGAAAGGCTAGAACCTCAGAAATTAGGATTGTATCCACACGTAAGAAGTCTAGAATTAAGGAGCTGCACAGTTAACACCTCTCAAAAGATCCACAGCTCTGCCTACCCCATACCCTCAACTCCACACAATTCAGCCACACATGTACCCTTGAACATTTGGCTCAAAAGAAAAAAAACACACAAAAAACCCCACAAAACATCACCACACCACTCCCCCCAGCCCAAACCCCATGCTAATAAAAAAAGGTCCTTGAATGTTTGGTTCAAAAGAAAAAAAAAAAAAACAACAACAAAAACCCCACAGCACACCCCCACAACACCCCCCACCAGCCCAAACCCCATGCTAATAAAAAAAGGCAGTGGATTAACTTTGGCTGATAAAGAAAAAAATGCTAAACCAGCCATTTGCCATTCATACGGAAGTGCAACATGCTGATGACTTTCCCCTCCTCTCAATTCTGTCCACAAAAACCAGACTCCGGAGCTCCCAGTGCATCAGCATTTCGCTGCACTAGATCACAAGACAGTGGTCTTCTGTTTTCCCCACCATGCTGTGTCCTGCTTGCTTCCTCTTTGTCTCTTTGAAAGGGTTTGTTAAATTAACTGCACAGTGTTTTCCTTTAACAAGCTATGAAAAGAGGCAGCAGGTAGGTAGGTGGGGATGAAGAGAGACAAACAGAAACCAAAAACCCCCAAGCGTCCGTTTCCTGACCCAAACAGAGGAGAAATATTTGCAGTCTCTCTACTCCTACAAGAGAAGCTTTGAGAGATACGGTCAGAAATATCATGGGAGGGGGTCTCAAGGGGGTGCAGCTCATAGCTCCATCTTGGTGGAAACGCTAGGAACCTAGCTCACAAATAGAGGAGATGAAAGATTTGAGAAAACTCTCTCCCTCTGCCCCCTGCCGCAGGCAGTGCACATGATAGCAGTATTTAGAACTAAGCATTTAGACTTCAGTAATTTCCATTATAAAATTTAGTTGATTATAGAACAACCATGCTGGTTTTGGGAAACAAATAATAATTAATCAAGATATCTTCCACAGTATTCCATCTCCATAAAAATTGCAGGACAAAAGCAGTCAGTTATCTCCAAGGAATATGTTGGGAGAAGTTATCTTATTTTTTATACTATTAAACCAGTACTAGTACTCATTATTACTAAAGAGGATGTCTGAATCAAGAAGCTCTAAAGGATCTTCAAACTAGTCAGGAACCAGAGCTTTTGCTCTTTTTCTTTTATTGGGGTGGGCTGCTCTGTACCTTTAGTCAGTGCTATTTTGGATTTTTTCCACACAGGATTACGTGGGGCAGTGTAGACATGCTCGGATAAGTTACTCATGTTAGAACTGCCACTTCTGCCCACCCCTTATTACATGCTCCAGCAAAGGAATTTCAGAGGCAACACCTTCTTGCAGTTACTAGAAGTACTGATGCATCAGACTAATAGCAATACTCCCCTCTCCAAGACATGGGCCATGACAGCCAGTGAGAAATCTGAAGACAAACCTAAAAGGGCATCTCTGAACAAGATGGGTGCCCTTTCTGCTTTATCTTTACGAATCCAGACCCAGACTACTCTGGGATTTAGTCTGCTTCCAAATTTGGCTCGCCCAGCCAGCTGTGGAATGCTGATGTTGCCCACCAGCTCTGCAAGCAATAGAGAGAGACACGTGCGCTTCTGAGTTTTTAAAAAAGTCATCTTGTACGATTAAGGGAAATATTTAGTCCACAGATGGAACGTTGCAATCCAAACACACACACTGGAGCTAGAGGCAGGCTGAGGAGGGAGAGAATGGACAGTTATGTGCAATATGGTCATTTCCGTAGTTGGATGTGCTGCACACAGGCAGCACTCAAGTGTTAACTAAATACCAGCTCAGGCAAACAATGGAAGGCTTTCAATCCAAAAGCAGCACCACTAAAGTAAATAAATCCCGTTCTGCTGGCAGCCAGTGGGTGAGGGAAGTAGTCGTCTCGCTGCGCTCAGAATTAGCAGGAAAAGTCTATACCTGAAACAAGCGTTTCCCTCTCCCTCCTCTCTCCCCTTTTCTAAACAAAGAAGTTGTTTCATCCCTTTTCGAAAAGTCAACTGCCCGAGTGGTAACATAAGCTTAGCCCAGGCTATTCAAAAGTTAGCTTGGCAACAGACTGTGGCCATTAAAACTGAGAGAAGATCAGCATCTTGGTAGGAATAAAATAAAAACAGGCTGCATGACAGCATTAAATAGAACGACTGAATAAAATCATTCAATAGCTTCTCTTGATAAGCTACAAATCTGACAACGAACCGCAGTACAGACACTGTCCTTGGCAAATGAGTGTCATTTAAAAGAGAAGGAAGGAAGGGAGAAAGTGTTGATACCATAAACAGCAGTGTGTGAAGCTAACTTAATGAAAGAATGACCTTAAAAGGAAAAAATGAATTGAATGCTTGTAACTAATACACACTATTACACACAACTGTGTTTTGTCAGCGTTTCTGTAACCACAAAATTGAGGAACTTCTAACTGTGCAAAAAGAACTGGAATGAAACTCGGCAAACAGAATCTTGGCC